CCTCCCTCTCTCGTGGTTTGGGGGTGGAAGGGCATTTACATGCCTTCCAGCCCCTATATCTCTACAGCTCCTAACTATGGCCTTAAACTTTGTCGGTCAACAAAACACGATAACCAAGTCAATGTAACATCTTATATAAATTCCCCCTTTCTCTTCATAGCCATTTTATGACCTTAAGTCTGTCTCCATTTACGTGCTATTTCAAACCATATAATTCGAAGTGAGTTCTCTTACTCCCTTGCAGCTTGAAGATCAAGTTGAAAAGTATTTTCCAGGAGCCTCTGCAAGGGCATGACAGAAGAACAACAGAGGACAGTAATTAGCTCCAGTCACCATATAAGAGCAGAAGGTAAAACAGTTACATAGTTATAAAGGGCACAAACCCGCAATGATAGGCTGTCCATGACTCCTGCTTGACAAAATGGAATAAATGCTAAATAAGCAAAAAGAAGTCCAGCTTCAAATCTGCAAATAGCAAAACGTTTAATATGAGCAACCTAAGATTGTTTCCAACGAGAAACTATTGCACTCATGGAATGTACATGTCATCTGCTATTCCAAAAGCTCTTCTCTCCAAAGGACTAGACGCTCCAGAAACAGATGCCCGTCTCCAAAGTCCTTCTGACAGGATATTAGGACGATCTTCAAGTTTAGAATAGCTGTAAAGGCAAATGGTTATAGAATGTCAGCCGGTCATATAGCTATCTTGATTTCATTTTTCTCTCGCCACCTTCACTACCCAATTATCTGAGAAGAAAATGTCGCCATATGGCTGTCATAAGGGGAACAAGTAATGAAATCAATTAAACTACAGTTGCTTTTATGTGAATTGCTTGTCTCTAGCGAATTTGGAAGATACTCCTTAAGGAAGTAGTCAGAAGAACCTCAAAAGGTATGAATAGCAAAAAGTAAAACAGAACAGAAGAGTATTTACCAATTACTACTTCACATATCAACCAATCCTTGACAAGCTAAATTGTATTACAGTCAGCAAAAAAGAAACAAAATGAATTTTCAGCTTTTCCAGCATTTAACAGTAAACTGTAATCAAATGGAGTAGTATATTTTTCATAGATAGTCAACACAAGCATAGTTAGGTCATCATTACAGGGGAAAGTGGTATCACACGAGCAAGTTATGTAATGGGGATACCTTATATCAACAGAGAAGGCGAGATCACGGAGCTGAGGAACTAGATATGCAGCATCTTTCTCAACAACTGTACTGGTAGTTTGCAACAAAATCATGATTCAGCTAGAGGCATTAATGTTTATGGAACAACCCTCCACCCTAGCCCCAAAAACAGAAGAGCCAAATGAAAGGAAAAAAAGGAGAAGTGGTCTCAAAAACCTACTTTAGGACAACAGAAGCAGGACCAAGACTTTGGTGTAGTCTGTCATTGTCATGCATATAGGACAGACCTCTCATAGCCCCATGAAGCAGCCTAATAACAAAATATCTTCTGCGTTTTATGGTCTGATCCTGCTCAAAGGGGTTCCACAATCTCTGTTCTCCTCCAGCAATCACTTTTGCCATTTTTTCACTAGTAATTTTAGCATAATCTGCAGCACTATATTTTCCATTATCCCTAAAAGCAAGCCACTGAGAAAGCCCAAAAATTTCCGTGATGTCATCAGAAACATAAGCCAAAAGCAAGAATTTCACATCTAATCTGCCTACAACTGACAAAAAACATAACATACCTGCTCCCCAGTATTTGTCTCAAATCCTCCTACAAGTATTTGAATATGCTTGCAGAAATCTTTTGGACTGCTCTGTGAAATATTAAAAAAGAAAAGGATCTTATTTGAAGTATTCGACCAACAATGATCCAACAAGATAACTCCGTAAATGCTAGAGATTCAACCAAAGAATTATAATATTACTTGAAGGGAAGCATGAGCATTAAGCTCATTCGCAGCCATCATGTCAGCCTCACTTCCACCAACTTGTTTTCCAGGATATACCTGCATCATATAACCTTTCTTGTCATATGAAAATTCTATGAGAGGTAGGGGAAAATAAGACTTACGATAAAGAGGCTGCTGAAGAAGCTTAGAGAGGAAGCTAACATCAAAGGTACAAATTTTGAGTTAAACTATCTTCTGTGTATCTGTATAATGTATTTGCCTTAATATCCTTCTGTGTGTGTTTCTTCTGTTGAGATTGTCCTGAGGGAAGATTTTAGTGTAGTGGCAAAGAGGGTTCAAAAATTGCTTTAGGTCACAGGTTCAATTTCCAAGTTGGATATTCTTGTATTTTTTGGATCGCCTTGTTTACATTGCTAGCTTGCCACTAGCAATGATCATACTTTGAAAGCAATAACTTAGATTCACATTCTTTTCTTTGTGAAAAGACAACAAGGAGTAAGATATGTAAAAGAGCATAACCACGGGAGAAGATGAAGCTCGCCAAAAGGGAAGTCAAACATGGTTAAGATTCCCAAGTTTGTTACATCCGCTTGTAGATATCCGTTATCCTACTCAGACATAGTAGCATGAGTTCTGTCACAGGAAGTAGAAGAAAATAACCTAAACATTCATATCACCAAATCATCACTTGAAAGCAAGTAAAATCTGAGCTGTGCAAATGTTATTCAGCAAAGAAAGAGCTTCAATTTGTGAAACAAGTCAGACTATCAAAACAACAACATAGAAAAGAATGGCAAAGGCAATCACCTTAAAAATGACCCGAGTTCCTCTAAGTGGACCTTGAGCTACTCTTCCTTCATAAAGCCTGCAAAGGAACTGCGGATGATAGTATCAGCAGCAAGATTAAAGGTAACAACAACCTACTATAAACTACTTTATCCAAATTCAACAATTTCGTAAACATATAATCCCAAAAAGGAATTTCCACCTGATCGTGACATTTCCTTCTCCAATATCTTGTACTTTAAAGCTCCCTATATCTTCTGATACCGCATAATCCATCCCCATTCCAGATTGGAGGCCCGAGTAACTATAACAAAAAAAAATAAGAAAATTAAATGGTACAAACTCGAGAAAAGAAAATGCATCATAGGATAAGAAAATGAATGTACGTCTATAACTAGTTAAAATTAAGAGAATAAATTACGCTAAACACTCTAGTAATATGACTCAGACCTCATGTATTTTAAAACTAAACACTTACACCTTGACCTAGGAAATACTACAGAAATATAATGACTCAATTATCTATTTACAAAAATATAGTCCGAGTTCGAGTGCCCGTCCACACACTTACCTGGTGACATTCATGAAGCCATAGCTACCGATAAGCTTTCCAACTTCGAACGAATCGGAATTCGTGATCAAACTAGCAACACATAATCCAATAGCTCGACGAGGTCTAATTGGACAAGGTAGATTCGAATTCAGACTAAGACTTAAACCAATTCCGTAAAATGATGATGAAGAAGACCTCGCGACAAACGAAGTTCCACATTTAGAAAGGCAGTCTGCTACTGCTCCTCCAACAACCATCGCCGCTCTGTGCGTATAGTGGCGCGAACGGATAATGGAGTAGTACTATGAAAAAGAGGACTTTACGCTATAATTTGTCAATTTTGCGGTGTTGCGTCATAATATGGAACGTGCGTGGTTATGCTTAAAAACTTAAAAGCGAATAGTCTATCCATAAAATTTTGATATTTTCTCAAATTAGACCCCTAAAGTTAAGAACAAGAATATATGAAGACTAATAAATTTAACCCTTCAAAACTTTGTGAATGATTAAGTGTGATAATACCTTTTTAAAATTGCACCTAAAATAGCAAGAGTAAAAGTGAAGGAATGTAATACTTACATTCAAAATTTTTATGATAAAATGATGCAAATTTATGTTTAAACATTAGTGAATTGAGCACATATTGATATCACAATTTGATACTAGAGTGGGTCTTAGCATGCTATCTAAGTCTCAAGGGAACTCCAATTCCCTTACTAATGATGTAATTTTGCAGCAATGTTCATAATGTTATTGTATGGGTCCAAAATTGACAACCACAGCAACGGATAAGCAAGATATGGGACGGGGTCACCACAACACAACGATTGAGGGTTGTCGTGACAAAGGACGACGACCAAAAGCGGGCAGTCGAAATAAGACAGTAACGGTAGTTTAAACTTAGAAAGAGGTAGGACGAATATGCCTTTTGGATATTCTTTATGTTGTACTTTTTAGAGTTTTTTTTGAAAAAGGTCCCTTATAAATAGGAGGAGTTAGTAAACAAGAAATGAGGCTGCCATTTCAAAGAAGAGAGAATACATTGTAAAAAGGAGAGAGGAATATACGAAAGAATTGTCTTATTCACTTTACTCAAGCACATGTTGTTTAATTTTCATCCATAAATCTCAAGATTCCACATCCATATCGGCTGCATATCGTTTCAGTCATCAGAAAAGAGGAGACATCTAATCACACAATCATTGGGTGACAATCCCTTCATATTATGACTATTATCATTTCTTGCATTCATTGCATTTTCAGGATATTATATATTTTGTTAATCACATCGTATTGAACACATCACTTAACGTTCCTAAACCGTTCTCATTATAGTAGAATCTCGTTCCATCTGATCTAAGAATTATTAAGTTCAACTGAGATCCACTCCATTAATTTGTTACTAATTAGTTTTAGCAATTATTTGTTCAAATAATTTGGCGCCGTCTGTGGGGAGTTTTCTAGTTGAAACTATAGTTTTTCTAGATCATAAATAAAAAAACACATCTCTTCCTCGTTTGCCCCACTAACAATGACAGGAAAAGGAGATGCGGGGTTGAAAACGATAGCAGGTGTCACTACCAACATCTTGAACACAATCAACGAAGATAGCAGGGAAATCGATGAAAACGCGACACCGAATGCTACACCCAGGCGGAGTGCTTCGCCTCCCCCTCTCGCGAGAGCGTAACTGCTTCACGCGAAAAGGGAGCCTCCACGTCAACAATAGAGGAAGCACCACCAACAATAAAAAGACTACTGTAAGAGTGGCTAACGAGCACTCTGAACAACATACTCGATAAACCTGTCCAAAGGGAGAACAAAAATACTACACACATAGACATCATGACAACCACTGGCGAACAGGACGCCCCCCAAATAGGTAACACTCATACCGTTATTGATGTAGGTAATGATGCACTCATAGCCATTCTGAAGAAAATGGAAGAAATAGAAAACGAAAACAGGGCGCTCCATGATTAGATGAAGGAACATCAAGAAAGGGTCCACAAAATGCCGGGAGCCCCAAAGTTATTAACGAAACGAGACATTGGTCGATTCGTCGAACAACCATACAGTGAAGGAGCAGCCCCCCATGCCATATCAAACACCTTCAAAAGGCCACCATATCTGAAGATATACGATGGCACTACGGACCCAGAAGATCATATTGTCCACTATGCCACAGCGGTGAAGGGCAATAACCTTTTAAAGGAGCAAGTATCGTCAGTATTACTGAAAATATTCGGCGAAACCCTAATAGGGAGAGCCTTAACCTGGTATTCACAACTGCCGCCGTAGTCAATAGCAATGTTCGAGGAAATAGCGGACAAGTTTGTCACCGCTCACGTGGGGGCTAAAAAAGGGGAAGCCAGGGTGAACAATATATTCACCGCTAGGCAATCGCCTGGTGAGGGACTCAGGGACTTCCTCGCCCGGTTTAATAGGGTGAGAATGAGCCTACCAAACGTGTCAGAAGGGATGGCGGTAGCGGCCTTCCACAACGGGTTGAGTAGGAACGGGTCGAGAGCAACCAGAAAACTATTGATCAGACTCATGAAATATCCTCCTACCACCTGGGAAGAGATCCACAATGCCTACTACACCGAGGTAAGAGCCATCGAGGACGACCTCAACGGTCCGATCCAACGGCTGACATCAGTTCAATCAGAATCAAGGAAAGATCGTCGTAACGACAATCGAAGGGATCAATTGGGTCCCCGTCTGGCCGAGATAGACACTAGCCCTACATCATAACAGACGTCCCGCCACCAGCTCGGCACAGGATGGCCCGCTCCATCACAGGGACTCAACAAAACGAAAGAGGTATGCCTCCACTCTTATCTACTCATAATTTTTGTGATTCCCCTTCAGAGCTAGTGTATGCACTAGAGAAGCTCGGCACAAAGGTGAAATGGCTGCAAAAGATGAAATCCGATCCAAATACTCAGAAGTCGAACGCTCTCTGTGAATTTCACTAGGAGCGGGGTCACAAGATCGAAGACTGTATAGGTCTGCGGCAGAAGGTAGTGAGAATGCTGAACTAGGGACACCTGAGAGAACTAATGAGCGACCGAGGACGAGCCAATTTTACCCGCTGACGCGAACAACCCCAAGGACCTCCAAAGCCCCCTTTCCTGCTCACACTATCCAAATGATCATCGGTAGAAGCAACGGGGCAACAATCAACCATATGAAATACACCGCTACACACAAACTCAAGCGGTCGATCACTCATGAATGGTATGATGACCTCGAAGATAGTATCATCTTCGATAAGTCAGATACCGATAGTTTGACTTTCCCTCATTACGATGCTCTTGTTATTACTCTACGTATTTTAGATACTGATGTAAAAAGAATAATGGTGGATGACGGAAGTGGCACATGCATTATTCATCCCCAAGTCCTCATACAGATGAGGCTCGAGGATAAGATAATACCGCGTTGTATAACACTAACGGGTTTTAATAATGCAGTCGAGCGGACTTCTGGAGAAATAGTGCTACCCGTCTTAGCTGGGGAGTAACCTTGGAAACAAAGTTTCATATCATGGACCAGGATACAGCTTACAACGCCATCATAGGACGTCCATGGATACACGCTATGAGGGTCATCCCGTCAAGCCTCTATCAAGTGATCAAGTTCCCTACTCCATGGGGAATATTCAGCCTCCGAGGCGAACAACATACTGCATGAGAGTGCTATCGTATCGCCCAGGAATGTACACATACTCGACAACTAAAGGGAACCAATGCAGAAGCATAGTAATCAGCGATGTTGGGAACCAAGTCCGGCTTACAAACAGACGTTATCAAAGATCCCGACATCGTGGAAGCCGCTGAGCCGACGATAGAAGATCTTGATCCTGTCCAAATAAACAACAACGACAGCACAAAGAAGGCTTATATCGGGCACAATCTCTCGGAGCCAGGTATATTTCATAAATTCTTAACTGACAATGCCGATCTATTTGCCTTCTCCCATTCAGATATACCAGGCATTCCAAAAAACATCGCTACGTATAAATTGAATGTCGATCCACTCTATCCACTGGTGTGACAAATAAGGAGAAAGTTCAACGTCACAATCAACGAGGCCGTCAACGTTGAAGTTGATAAATTGCTCGCCAACGGTTCTATCCGAGAATCAAAATATCCCTAATGGGTCGCAAATGTGGTCATGGTAAAGAAGAAAAATGGGAAATGGTGGATGTGTGTAGATTTCACAGATCTAAACAAGGCATGCTCGGAAAACTCTTTTCCACTGACTCATATCAACCAACTCATCAATGCAACAGTAGGGCACGAACTGCTAAGCTTTTTAGACCCTTATTCGGGTTATAACCAAATCCTCATGGACGAGGAAGACCAGGAGAAAACTACTTTCATCACCCATCAAGGAACGTATTGTTACAAAGTCATGCTATTCGGGCTAAAGAATGCAGGGGCCACATATCAAAGGTTGGTCACCAAAATATTTAAAGACCAACTCGGCAAAACGATGGAGGTTTACATCGATGACATGTTGGTCAAATCCAAAAGGAAAGAGGACCACGTCGACCACCTTACAGAGGCCTTCAGCACATTAAGACGATATGGAATGAAGCTAAATCCCAAAAAATGCGCCTTCGGCATAACCTCAGGCAAATTCCTCGGTTTCTTGGTATCACAAAGAGGCATCGAGGTCAATCCAGACCAGATCAAGACCATCGAAAGAATACCCAAAATATTAACCAGCAAAAAATAGGTACAAAAACTAGCTAGTCGGATAGCCGCCTTGTCGAGGTTCATCTCCCGGTCATCTGATAGATGCCATAAATTTTTTAATGTGCTGAAGAAAGACAACAACTCCAGTGGAATTCAAATTGCATCGAGGCCCTGAGAAAACTAAAAGCATACTTGTCCTCGCCGCTAGGGGTGTGCATTCGATTTTGACCCTTATCGATTTGTACATATTCTTGTCGTTATCATTTCAATAAGGTTTCAATTTTTTCGATTTCGATTTATCGATTTTTGGGGCTTATCAATTCGGTTATTGATTACACCAATAAAAAAATTTGCGGGATTCCACGGAAAGTATATCGCTATAAACACGCCTAACTAATATGGACAAAAAGAAGCTAAAATAAGTCGAACACTGTTTATAACATAAAAATTATGTCAACAAGCACATGCAACGAAACTAAAGTAAGGGATCAAATGTATGCCACCAACACTCCAATAGTATAAAAAAATACATCATCACGACTAATTCTATTTTCCATTAATTTGAATTTCATTCCCTTGAGCTTTAAATATGATCATTCCTTAAATGTGGTAGAGGAAATAATAGGGTTAGG